CACTGCCGTCTCCTCCTGCGTCCTCTCTTCCTGCTCTTGCTGACCCGGGGTCAGACTCCCTTCGTGCTGCCAGTCCTACTGTGACGCGTCTCCTGGCTACTGTTGTCACTGACCCTTCCTTTGAGTCCGCTGCTGCGTCTGCCTTAGTTGCTGAGCTTGTCGACTTTGCTGCCACCTGTCGTCTAGACTACGCAGCTAGCCTAGTTGCTGATTCTGAGTCTGTCTGTCCTCCGTCCGTCGGGGGTGAGTGTGCTCTTGGCACTAACGTCCTTGAGGACAGGCAGGAGGACTTTGAGTGCTTTGCTGCTGCTTTGCCCCATCTCGTGTCCATGCTTGTTGCCTCTGAGGGAGACCCGGATGCACCAGACATCCCGACCCCACGCTCTTACGCAGAGGCGATGGCCGGTCCCTACTCCTCTCAGTGGCAGACAGCCATGGACACAGAGATGGCTTCCTGGAAGTCCACAGGCATCTACGTTGACGAGGTTCCCCCGCCTGGGGCGAACATCGTCAGTGGCATGTGGATTTTCAGGGTGAAGCGGCCGCCGGGCTCTCCGCCTATCTTCAAGGCGCGTTACGTTGCACGAGGCTTCAGACAGCGAGAGGGAGTTGACTTCTTCCAGACCTTCTCCCCGACCCCGAAGATGACCACTCTTCGGGTTCTGCTACACGTCGCCGCTCAGCGTGACTACGAGCTCCACTCTCTTTACTTTAGCACTGCTTTCCTACAGGGCAGCCTGCACGAGGAGATCTGGCTGCGCCGTCCACCTGGCTTCACTGGGTCGTTCCCTCCTGGTACCCAGTGGAGCCTCCGACGGCCAGTCTACGGTCTCCGCTAGGCGCCACGTGAGTGGCACGACACACTGAGGACTACACTTGCGGCTCTTGGGTTCGCGCCTTCTACTGCTGACCCGTCGCTGTTTCTACACACCAACACCTCATTGCCGCCGTTCTACATCCTCGTGTACGTCGACGACTTGGTCTTTGCCACTGCTGATACTGTGGCACTCGCCCACGTGAAGTCGGAGCTGCAGAAGAGACACACGTGCACAGACCTGGGTGAATTGACAAGCTATCTTGGCTTGCGGATCACCCGGGACAGAGCACGCCACACCATCACCTTGACTCAGTCACACATGGTGCAGCAGGTCCTTCAGCGCTTCCGCTTCACGTACTCCTCGCCTCAGCCCACTCCTCTGCCTACCGGTCGCTCGCTCTCAGCTCTGCCTTCGGATGAGTCCGTAGAGCCGAGTGGCCCGTATCCAGAGCTTGTGGGTTGCCTCATGTACCTGATGACCTGCACTCGACCTGACCTTGCATACCCTCTTAGCATTCTTGCACGCTATGTCGCTCCCACCCGTCACCAGAAGGAGCACATGGATGCAGCTAAGAGGGTGTTGCGCTACTTGTGCAGTACGTCGGGCATGGGGCTAGTGCTTGGAGGGCGAGTCCCAGTTGTTCTCACTGGGCACTCAGACGCCTCTTGGGCAGATGATCAGGCTACTCAGCGGTCGTCTCAGGGTTACTCCTTCAGTCTTGGCTCTGGTTCGGTTTCTTGGCGTTCTACTCGCTCTTCTTCTGTTCTCAGCTCCAGTTGTGAGGCTGAGATCTACGCCACAGCCATGGCGGCCCAGGAGCTACGCTGGCTCACCTACTTGCTGACCGACCTTGGAGAGCAGCCTCGTTCTCCTCCAGTGCTGTACGTCGACAACAAGGCATCCATTGCCTTGTGTCAGGAGCACAGACTGGAGGACAGAATGAAGCACATTGCTCTGCGCTACTTCCTTGCTCGAGAGCTGCAGCAGCGTGGTCAGCTTCGTCTGCGTTACGTGGCCTCTGAGGCCAACACTGCTGATGTGTTCACCAAGGCGCTTCAGCCTTGTGACCATCAGCGCTTTTGCACTCTTCTAGGCCTTGTGCCTACTGTACCTCACTTGCTTACTTCTTGAGTCTGTTTGTACTGTGATCTCTATATATATATACTTGCATGTTTACTCTTGCTAGGTTGTGATCACTGTACCACTTGTTCTATTATAAACCTACATGTGAACTGGTCTTGTGACCACTTGCTTGTGCTCTGAATTTGTGTGGCATCCTTGAGATCCACCCTGAGCTTGTTTTGCCTTGACTGGTCTTGTGACCCCTAGTTCTCCCCCACTTCGCCTATGGGGGTGTGTCAAACATTATATATGTTGTTGTGCTTATTTAGGTTACAGTGGGTTAGTCTATAGGGGGTACATAATTCTAGGGTTAGGTATTTGTACTGTTTTCACCCTTAGTCCAACCATTCCTGTTCCGTTGTTTCAACAGGTCTCGTTGTTGTCCCTTCCTCTGTCTGTAGGCCAGAGGCAGGAGGTGGAGTAGGAGTAGTGCCAGGAGAGCCGTTGGAGGAGCTCCCCTCCTTTCTAGTAGACATATCTCTTGGTGTATTAAGTATTGAGGAGAAATAATTTAACTCTAACCTGCTCTCATACCATGTTGGGCTGAAAGCCCCTTTAGGATCTTTGGTAGAGTTAAAGTCTGGGTAAAGTGATGTAGTAGCGGAAACGTTTAGAGTTAAGTCTTTGAACCACCTTGCGCTAGTATATGAGGGCAAAGTAAGTTGATTAAAGCAAAGAGATACAAGAATATATATATATATATATGAATACAGATAATATGAAGAGACATAATTATAACTACTTAACTGTTGCGGTTCGATACAGTGTGACTCGGGCAACTGCTCAATGTCGAGTCAGTTGTGTGTCCTTGCTGTCGCGCTGCTCTTGTCAGGTCAAAGGTCGCTGACCTTTGACTTTCGCATAACCTCCAGCGGTTACATCAACCTCCGAGGGTTGACTCGCTGGTGCCTCGATATGTGCTGCTTCGCTTGTGTCTTGGTGTTTCGACACGACAGAGGCGCTTAGGATTATTTGTTCCCAACATGCAGGACAAGTTGCAGGATTGGGCACCGCATCCAGAGGGATTGCAACCGCCGCCATACTTTTACGCTTGTGTAGTGGAGACTTTTGGTTTGCTCAGCGAGCCAATGAGGCAGTTTCTAGGGCTTTGTGCACGGCGGATTGCACAGCGGCGTAAAGACCTGGGGGGGGATGACGGGTCAGCACGGATTTTCGAGACCGGACTCACTACATGACTTTCTGTGGCACTGCAGCGAGAGCAGGCTCAGAGTATTATACAGCACGCGGTGCGGCAGTTGGGAGGGTCAGATGATGGGTGGATGCCCGCACCAATCCCTTTGGGTGCAAGGCAGGGCAGTTGGCATCACGTTACCGGCTGCTTTGAGAGCGTGGCAGATATGCAGTATATGTACGATGCATATGTTTAGGCGTTTAGCGTTTGTGCTTGAAAAGCTGTGTCCCGCGCTATGGTGCAGGTTGCTGTGGTGTTTTGGTCCTTAGGTGTTTCCTCCTTTTAGTTTCTTCTTCTCTTCTTTTCCTCTTTCCACCTTTCTTTCGGCCCTTCTCTTCTTCTCCAGCTCTTCTCTCCTTATTACCCTTTTCTTTGTTCCACCATCTTTACCTTCCTCTAATACCCATTCTCTTAATTACCACGATTATCAAACTTAATCCATAATAGCAACCCAAAATGGCCGTGTTTACATGACAAAAACCAGCAATTTGTAATATAGTCTGTAAATCTGTACAGTATTACAAGGCGGGTCCGACGAAATGATGAGAGGGTTCATCTGTGATAGCAAAGTTTCGAGTGTGACTACTGTAAGAACATTATAGCTTATACATTTGTGTAGGCTGTAGTGGGGTAGCCCACAAGGGGTACAACCCAATTAGGGTTAGTACTTGTACCCAACTCTTTCATAGTTCAATCATCCATTCTCACTTCTCGTCATGGTATCGAGCAGGTTCCCGAGTGGGAATACTGCCTAGGGCCCACCACGAACTTTTTTTCCTTCCCTGCCCGAAGCGCGCTTCGCTCCTAACCCGAGTAGCGCCTCGAGCCGCTCTTAGTGGCCCCCGTTGGCCGCCCTTACGGCCCCTCGCGCCGCCTTCTACGGCCCCTTACGGCCCCGTCTTACCCCTTACGACCCCATCGCGGCCCCGCTTAGGCCCCTTACGGCCCCTCGCGCTGCCTTCTACGGCCCCTTACGGCCCCGTCTTACCCCTTACGACCCCGTCGCGGCCCCGCTTAGGCCCCTTACGGCCCCGTCGCGGCCCCGCTTAGGCCCCTCACGGCCCCGTCGTACCCTCTTACGGCCCCGCCTAGGCCCCGTCGCGGCCCCGCTTAGGCCCCTCACGGCCCCGTCATACCCCTTACGGCCCCGCCTAGGCCCCGTCGCGGCCCCGCTTAGGCCCCTCACGGCCCCTTCACGGCCCCGCTTAGGCCCCTCCGCGGCCCCGTCGTACCCCTTGCGGCCCCCCCTAGCCCCCCCCCCCCCCTTCGCGGCCCCGTCTGGCCCCTTACGGCCCCCTTTACGGCCCCGCCTGGACCCCCTTTACAGCGCCGCTACGGCCCCCCCTTTGCGGCCCCTTTGCGGCCTCGCCGACACTTGCCGCCCCGCCGCCACCTACGGCCCCATCGTCACTTGCGGCCCCGCCCACCCTTGCGGCCCCGTCGCCCACTGCGGCCCCGTCGCCACCTGCGGCCTCGCCCACCCTTGCGGCCCGCCGCCACCTAAGGCCCCGCTGCCACCTGCGGCCTCGCCGCCACCTGCGGCCCCGCCGCCCAGCGCCCGCTGCGCCGAGCAGCCGAACCGCCGGCCAACCGAGCCGCCCGACCGCCAAGCCGCCCAGCAACCGAGCCGCCCAGCAGCCGAGTCGCCTGACAGCCGAGCCGCCCAGCACCGTGCAGCCGAGCCGCCCAGCAGCCGAGCCGCCCAGCAGCCGAGCCGCCCGACAGCCGAGCCGCCCAACACCGTGCAGCCGAGCCGCCCGACAGCCGAGCCGCCGAGCAGCCCTATCGCCCCACTTGCCTGGCAAGAGCATAGTCTCTGCCACTGCACTGCCCTGCCCCACTGTACTCACTGCCTGCCTACTGCTGTTATGGCCTCCCCTAGCGTTCTCACCTTTGACGCTGAGGGTCGGGCAGTGGACTTTGAGGTCTGGGTAGATGATCTGCTGCTTTTCCTACAGTGCGATAGGGCAGACGGACTCTCCCTGTTTGACCTCACTTCTGGTGCCTCTCCTGCCCCTACTGCTGATGCTGACGCCACTGTTCGCTCACAGTGGGCCACGCGCGATGCTGCTGCTCGCCTTGCTGTGCGCCGCCACTTACCGACCACTGAACGTGTACACTTTAGCCAGTACAAGAGTGCTCAGACCTTGTAGGACGCTGTATTTGCGCGCTACTCTTCCCCTGCCACTGCTGCACTGAGCCGCCTCATGCTACCGTACCTCTTCCCTGACCTTGCTGCCTTTCCCACTGTCGCTGACCTCAGTACGCACCTCCGCACTAGTGACACTCGCTACCGCGCTGCGCTTCCTGCTGAGTTCTGCGCCAAGAACCCCCCCCCCCCCCATGTACATCACCCTCTACTACATAGTCACCCGGCTCCCTGACTCTCTTCGGGTAGTCAGGGACCACTTCCTCTCAGTTTGCCCCACCACTCTCACCGTTGACCTCCTCGAGAAGGCCCTCCTAGCGATAGAGAAGAGCATAGTCGCTGTAGGAGCCTCTCGTGGTGACCCTCGCACCCCCGTCTTTGAGGGGTGTTCTCCCTCCCCCCTCTTGCCCTCTGTTGCCTCTGCTGCTGCGGCCGACCTCGTTGGTTTTGAGTCGGTCGGCGCTGCGTCTGCCCCGAGCGGGAGACGCCGCACCGGCAAAGGGCAAGGGGGGCAAGGGCACTCGGGGGGCTGGAGGGGGCGGTGGAGGTGGTGGTGGAGGCGGTGGAGGGAGTGGGGGTGGTAGTGGGGGTGGTGCCGGGGGTGGCGGCGGCGGTGGCAGCAGTGGAGGCGGCGGAGGCGGTGGAGGTGGCGGAGGGAGCTAAGGCGGCGGAGGTAGTGGAGGAAGCGGAGGTGGAGGAGGCGGCGGAGGCGGCGGAGGCGGCAGAGGCGGCGGAGGCGGCGGTGGTGGAGCGAGTCGTGACTCTGCACAGAGGAGTGGCGCCGGTGGTGGTCAGCGCCTGCAGCAGCAGCTTCGTGAGTGGTACACTGCGCGCCAGCGCGGTGGGGGTTTTGGTCCCTGCTCTTACGTCCTCCGTACCGGAGACCGCACTGGTGAGCAGTGCGGAGGCCCGCACTCCACCCAGCGCTGCTTTGGTCGCCTGACGGACGCGTGGCGTCGCCAGTTCCCTGAGGCGTCAGAGATCCCTCGCTGGGGAGATCTGGCTAAGGCCGGGGTTGCTATCTTTGATCTTGACTTTGATGCTATTCTTGCTGCCATGTATGTTGTTGCTAATAGTGTCGAGGGTGCCTGTTACCAATGTGTACCACCTGACCCGGGCATTGAGGCCGCTGCTCTAGGTGCTGGTGAGGCTGCTGCTCTAGGTGCTAGTGCGTCTGCTGCCCCAGGTGCCAGTGCGTCTGCCGTCCCAGGTGCTGGTGAGTCTGCTCTCTCAGGTACTACGTCGGCTCAGGCCTTCCCCACCTTCACCCTGGACTCGGGTGCGTCCTGCTCCTTCTTTCGAGACCGCACCACTCTTACGCCGCTTAGTCGGCCGGTTGCAGTCTCCCTGTCAGAACCCTCTGGGGGTCCTGTCCTTGCTAGCTTCTCCACTGTCCTTCCGTGCCCTGCAGCCCCCTCTGGCACCCTGTCTGGTCTCTACCTCCCCTCGTTCTCTACGAACTGTCAGAGTATTATAACTGATGCATGTTTGTAGGCTATAGTGGGGTAGCACATATGGGGTACAGCTTTCTAGGGTTGTATTTGTACCCAACTCTGACTTAGTCATTTCATTCCTGTTCACTTGTTTCACATGGTATAGAGCGGGTCCTTCCTTAGGACCGTTTTTTTAGGGCCCACCGAAGCGCGCCCCGAGGCGCGCCCTTTTTTTTAGCGACCCCTCGGGTCGCCATTTCCCTCGCGGCCCCGCTGTCCCTCAGACGCGGCCCCGCCACCCCTCCTGATCGCGGCCCCGCCGCCTGCTTGGCGCGGCCCCGCCGCCGGCTCTGACGCGGCCCTGCCGCCCGCTTCGCCGCGGCCCCGCCGCTTGCTTGACGCGGCCCCGCCGCCTCCACTGACGCGGCCCCGCCGCCGGCTCTGACGCGGCCCTGCCGCCTGCTTCGTCGCGGCCCCGCCGCCTGCTTGACGCGGCTCCGCCGCCTCCACTGACGCGGCCCCACCGCCGGCTCCGCCGCAGCACCCTACGGCCCGCCGCCTCACCTGACGGCCCCGCCGCTGCACCTGCCGGCCCGCCGCTGCACCTGCCGGCCCGCCGCTGCACCCAGCGGCCCGCCGCTTCACCTGACGGCCCCGCCGCTGCACCTGCCGGCCCGCCGCTGCACCCTACGGCCCGCCGCTGCACCCTACGGCCCGCCGCTGCACCCTACGGCCCGCCGCCCCACCTGGTCGGCCCGCCGCTGCACCCTACGGCCCCGCCACTGCACCTGCCGGCCCGCCGCTGCACCGGTCGACCCGCCGCTGCACCTGACGGCCCCGCCCCTGCATCTCCCGGCCGAGCCGCCCCAGCAGCAGAGCCGCCCCGGGAGCCGAGCCGCCCAACGCCGAGCCGCCCGGGACCCGAGCCGCCCTGCCGCCGAGCCGCCCGGGAGCCGAGCCGCCCTGCACCCGAGCCGCCCTGCCGCCGAGCCGCCCGGGAGCCCGAGCCGCCCAGCCGCCGAGCCGCCCGGGAGCCGAGCCGCTGTGCACCCGAGCCGCCCGGTCGCTGAGCCGCCTTTCTGCAGAGCTGCACGACCTGCCCTGCCTGGTGAGCACAGTCCCACTGACACTGCGAGCTCTTTCCCTACTGCTTGCACTGCGTCGCTGTCGTCGCCATGGCTACCCCTAGTGTCCTAGCTTTTGACGCTGAGGGTCGCGCCATTGATTTTGAGGTCTGGTTAGACGACCTGCAGCTGTTCTTACAGTGCGACAGGGCTGACGACCTTTCTCTCTTTGACCTCACCTCTGGCGCCTCTCCTGCTCCTGCTGCTGATGCTGATCCCACTGTCCGCTCTAAGTGGGCCACCCGCGATGCTGCTGCACGTCTTGCTGTGCGTCGCCACCTCCCTACCTCTGAGCGTGCGCACTTTAGTCAGTACAAGAGTGCTCAGACCTTGTACGACGCTGTAGTTGCGCGCTACTCCTCCCCTGCCACTGCTGCACTGAGCCGTCTCATGCTTCCCTACCTCTTTCCTGACCTCTCTGCCTTTCCCACTGTCGCTGACCTCATTACGCACCTCCGCACTAGTGACACTCGCTACCGCGCCGCCCTTCCTGCTGAGTTCTGCGCTAAGAACCCCCCCCCCAGGTACATCGCTCTCTACTACGTAGTCGCGCGCCTCCCTGACTCCCTTCGCGTCGTCAGGGACCACTTTCTCGCAGTCTGTCCCACCACCCTCACCGTCGACCTCCTCGAGAAGGCCCTCCTTGCAGCGGAGAAGAGCATAGTCGCTGTAGGTGCTTCTCGTGGTGACCCTCGCACCCCCATCTTTGAGGGGTGCTCTCCTTCCCCCTTGCTCCCCTCTGTTGCCTCTGCTGCTGCTGCCGACCTACTTGGTCTTGAGTCGGTCGGCGCGGCGTCTGCCCCTAGTGGGAGACGTCGCTTCAGCAAGGGCAAGGGGGGCAAGGGCGCGGGTGGAGCTGGAGGGGGCGGTGGCGGTGGCGGCGGTGGCGGCGGAGGGAGTGGGGGTGGCGGCGGGACTAGTGGCGGGGGTGGTGGTGGTGGTGGCAGCAGCGGCGGAGACGGTGGTGGTGGTGCCAGCGGTGGTGGTGGAGGCAGCGGCGGTGGTGGAGGCGGCGGAGGTGGAGGCGGTGGAGGCGGCAGCGGAGGAGGCGGTGGTGGTGGAGGAGGTGGAGCTGGTCGAGGTGGTACCCAGCAGCGTAGCGGCGGTGGTGGTGGCCAGCGCTCGCAGCGGCAGCAGCAGCAGCGCTCGCGGGACATCCCTCCGCCTCAGCAGCCTCGTGAGTGGTACGCTGGGCGTCAGAGGGGTGGGGGTACTGGTCCCTGCACCTACGTTCTTCGTTCCGGCGACCGCGCGGGTGAGCAGTGTGGGGGTGCCCACGCCACCCAGCGCTGCTTTGGCCGCCTGACGGACGCTTGGCGTCAGCAGTTTCCTGGGGCTAGTGAGATCCCTCGCTGGGATGAGCTTCTAAGGGCTGGTGTAGCGATCTTTGATCTTGACTTTGATGCTATCCTTGTTGCTATGTATGCTGTGGATTATAGTGAGGAGAATGAGGGTTACCGGTGTTTCCTGCCCGACCCGGGCAGTGGTACTGCTGCGCTAGGTGCTTGTGAGCCTGCTGCTCTAGGTGCCAGTGCGTCTGTGCTCTCAGGTACTGGTGAGACTGCGCTCTCAGGTACTGCGTCGTCCTCGTCCTCCCTCACTTTCACACTTGACTCCGGGGCTTCTCGCTCCTTCTTTCGAGACCGCACTACCCTTACGCCGCTCGGCCGGCCGGTTGCGGTCTCCCTTGCTGACCCCTCTGGGGGTCCTGTCCTGTCTCACTTCTCCACTGTCCTCCCGTGTCCGGCTGCCCCTTCGGGCACCCTGTCTGGTCTGTACCTTCCCTCGTTCTCTACGAACTTGGTGAGTGGAGCGGACCTGCAGGATGTGGGGGTTCACCAGTTCACTCCTGCGAGTCAGCGGGTGACCCACTGCACGGAGGCACGCACAGGCCGACACCTGGCCACGTTCTCGCGTCGGCCGGGGTCGAGTCTCTACACCCTGACCGTTGGGTCTCCTCCTGTCCTTGCGTCTGGTCAGGTGGCTGCGTCGGGTCAGGTGCTTGCTGCTGCGTCCCGGTCAGGTCCTGAGTCTGCCCCCTGTTCTTGTCGCCTCCTGTCTCACGAGACTCTCCTGTGGCACCACCGTCTTGGCCACCCCTCCTTGCCCCGTCTTCGGAGCATGGCTTCCCGTGTCCTTGTCTCTGGTCTTCCCCAGTCTCTCCCTCCTCTCCCCTCCGGGCCAGGACCTTCCTATGTCCCCTGTGTCGAGGGTCGCCTCCGGGCTACTCCTCACTCCTCCCACTTCCCCCCGACAGAGGCTCCCCTGCAGACGCTTCACATGGATGTGTGGGGATCAGCCCCCGTCCGTGGGCAGGGTTACGAGCGCTACTTCCTGTTGGTGGTTGACGACTACTCGCGTTACACCACAGTCCTCCCCTTGCGCAGCAAGGGTGCGGTCACTGAGGTGCTGATCGACTGGATCCGCGAGGCTCGTCTCCAGCTCAGGAAGAGCTTCGGCTCGGACTTTCCTGTTCTGCGTCTGCACTCGGACAGAGGCGGAGAGTTCTCTTCTCGCCTTCTGCGGGACTACTGTCGTGCACGGGGGATCCGCCAGACCTTCACGCTTCCGGACTCACCACAGCAAAATGGGATTGCTGAGCGCCGCATTGGCATGGTCATGGATGTCGCTCGTACGTCCATGATGCATGCGGCTGCCCCCCATTTTCTGTGGCCGTTTGCGGTGAGGTACGCGGCGCATCAGCTCAACCTTCACCCCCGGGTCTCTCGGCCTGCGATGTCCCCAGCCTTGCTGTGGACGGGGAAGGTTGGCGATGCGTCTGTGTTCCGTGTCTGGGGATCTCGGGCGTTTGTCCGCGACTTGTCTGCGGACAAGCTGTCCCCTCGTGCTGCTCCCTGTGTCTTCCTTGGCTTCCCCACTGACGCCCCAGGGTGGCAGTTTTACCACCCCTCCTCTCGTCGTGTTCTGTCCTCCCAGGACGTCACGTTCGACGAGTCAGTCCCCTTCTACCGTCTCTTCCCCTACCGCACTCCTTCCCTCCCCCCTCCCCCGGACTTCCTTGTGCCGGTTCCCCCCCCGGTAGACCCCCTCCCCCCTCAGGTTCTTGCCCCCTCAGGTGTGTCCCAGGTAGACGCCGTTGACCCGGTCGAGGTTACTGGTGACTCTGGTGCTGCTGCGGGTGCTGAGCCTGGGGGTGCTGACTCTGGGGGTGCTGTGCGCGGGGGTGCTGAGCCTGGGGGTGCTGGGCCTGAGGGTGCTACTGCGGAGGGTGCGGAGCCTGGGGGTGCTGAGCCGGGGGGTGCTGTGCCTGGAGGTGCTGGGTCTGGGGGTGCTGGGTCGGGAGCTGCTGAGCCTGGGGGTGCTGAGCTGGGAGCTGCTGAGCCTGGGGGTGCTGCGTCTGGAGCTGCTGGGCCTGGGGTTTCTCCTGCTGCTGCGTCTCGCCGGGAGCCCCTCTCTCCACAGGAGCTGCGCGAGTGGTTCGCTCGCCGCTGGAGGCGTGCTGCTGAGTCTGGAGGTGCTGCTGGAGCTGGAGCTAGAGCTTCTTCGACCGTCGAGGGTGCGGGTGCTGCCGGTCCCGGAGCTGCTGGACCTACTGGTCCTCCTGGAGCTGGAGCTGCTGAGGGCGTTGGTGCTGAGCCTACTGCTGTTGGTCCTGCCGCTGGAGGTGTGGGTGGCGCTGGTGCTGTCGCTGAGGGTGCTGGTGCTGTCCCTGCTGAGTCTGGAGCTTCCGCGCGGCCTCGGCCGTACTTCGTTCCGCTCCTGCAGCAGGTTCTTGGCTTTTCTCCTCCAGTAGAGGGTCCACCGCCTGTC